AGTCTATTGAGTCATTACTTAGAACTTTCTGAAATTTTTAAGGTCTGAGTTCACAAAGGCCTACTTTTAGCTAGATGGAAGTTTAAAGTTTTTCTTTACTTCAACATACTTTTTTCAACCAACTGCAAGTGATTTTAAACATTTAACATTTTTTAAAGAATGCCTGCAGTAGTTTGAAAAGAAATTATCACAAGTTTTCACAGAATTTAAATCTTACTAAAATTGTGATGACTTTATGAAGACAAATGCTGCTTTCATTTATAGTTGCTCATCTCCAACGTTGTCAGTGAAAATGTACTGGATGTTGAAGAAGGAGTCCATTAAAGTATTAATTTGGATATTTATACATACAGCCTATGATTATACAAAATAGTATAATCTGATTTAGCATGTTCTGCAGGTGCCAGGAAAATAACTTATAGCAGCTATTACATTATGAAACTGAATTTAAACTAAGCCACCTACTATTAAAAGCATGTGAAATGCGTACATTGAAAGCTTGCATAAATCCTAGTAACATACACGCACTGGAGTTTCTCAATACCCACAGAGCAAATTATTTTCTTACATACTCAGTTTAATAATCCACCAGATTTCCCATTCCAGCTTTTCAGTATCTCTTATGTAATTACCTGGGACACAGAAGAATGGATACTTGTGCAGCTGCAGAAGCCAGTGCTGTAACTTAGAATAACATTTGTATTTATCTAGTTATGCATACCAATTCACAAAGACATAACCATCTCTAGATGTAATTCAGATGCAAGAGAAACATAATCCTCAAATGTGTATTATCTTTTATTTTTTTCATCATGTCTTTCCCCTAAATCATTCCAATAATCAGAGGGATTTTCTATTTTGAGTAAATAATACCCTCCAGATAAGGACCATGACTCAGAAAAACAGTAATCCACAATCAACACCGAAAGAAAATTTCTGGCATCTTGACTACTTCCCAGATTGCAGTGTTACTAGAATACACATAATTGATGTGTAGCAGAGCCAGTAACATCACACAGCAAACAGCTTCTTATGCTCACTTAGAAATTAACTAGTTCTGCAAATGCTGGGAAAATTAAGGGGTAATTCAGGTTAAAAGACCCCCACACTTAGGTGTCTAGATACTCATGTTTACACACTGGCTAGATTTTCAAAAGTTCACTTTAGGCAGTGGGGGCAGGATTCAGTTTCCTCAACATGGGCTTCTGGAGCTCTTTGAGATACCCTGCAACACCTCAACTGGCCTCCAGCTGCAGGTCCAGAAGATCATGAGACTTTCACATGTCTGGTGTCTCATCAGAGGACTCCACACGTATGTCATACATACTCTAGGACATCTCAGATATCACTCAAATGCCACCTGTCTTTAGGAGACTGAATCAAAAGCCCTATACTAGTTGTGTAATTCAATCAACAGTAACCTTTCACATCCTGAAGCAGAGAGATAAGAAAGTCAATTGACCACCTAGAATACTTGAGACACTTTAAAATACCTGAGATATCCATATGGAGATAACATTTACACCACAAGACTAAGAAAACCTGCTTCCCACTGCATATGAAGTGTCATCTCAGAACACACACAGCAACTATGCTGAACAAGTGAGTAACTCCACAGGGGCTCCAGGCATCTCCTTGGAGCAATCTGAATTATTCCATCAGCTTCACCCTCTGTATTGCCTAGCCCTCCAGGCCCCAGATCTACTGCTAAACGTGTTTACCAGCATTTAAGCAGCAGTTTATCCTGGCTGATCTGTCTCTTCCCAGATGAGAGTGCATTTCCCATAAGACCCATGTCATGCTTCTCATGCTCACATGGCATCTCACAAATCTCCACCAACACAGATGTTTATGTCTAGCTGAGTGGAGTGAATCTCTAGTAGCTAGTTAGTTGACTCACTGTCTAGGCTGTGCTAACCATAATAGACTAAACCTCAATCCTTCCGATTATCAGATTAAAGGGACAATTTAGACAATTGCATAGGAACATAGCTCCTCATAAGCACATGGATTTAGGTGTCTTAACTTCAAACTGAATCTAATCACAACTTTCCCATTAATTATTGAACTACTGCATATCGAACACACTTATTATCACAAAGCTTTATCCCCTGGTGAACACTCCACTGGTACACTTTTCTGTTCAGATTTTCCCCTCATTTTAAATCTAAGTGAAGAAAAAAAATAACAACCTGTGGTTGTAGCATGTACTGTCTAACCCAAGGCATGTATATCCTTCTGAACTTCACATTCTGAACCCGAAGTGGCCATATGTGGGTGACAAAGACACCGAATTGCCGTATTCTTCAAAGGAAGTGGCATAGCAGGAAATGTCATGCAAGCACAGACTAGTGCATGGTGTGAGTCTTACACCATTTTACAAATCCCTTCTGCATTAAGTGTAGATAAATTGCAGCTATTAGTAATGAAAATAATACATTTTTTTAAACATCCTGGTCTTCAGTTACTACATATTTACTAAAGAGGCTAAATATTTTCTTATTTACTAAATACTAAATATTAATATTTGGTCAAACACCAGCAGTCATCCTCAAAATTACTTCTTTCACACATTTTTTAAGACACTGTTTTGAAAAAGAAGGCCATCAAGAAGGCAAACCCCATACTGGGGGGGCACCAAATACGGCCCACACCAAACAGCCAGTAGGGAGAAGCTGTACCATGCTGTACTCAGTGTTGGTGCAGCCTCACCCTGAGAACTGAGTGTGCAGTTCTGGTCTCCACAGTTTAAGAAGTGTATGAAGGTCCTTAAATCTGTCCAGGAAAGGACACCAAAGCTGGTGGCAGGGATGTCTTAAAGCATGTCTTAAAAGGAGCACCTCAGGACTTTGAGTCTGTCTAGTATGGAGAAAGGGAGGCTGAAGAGTCACCTCACTGCTCCACAGGGAGCTAGAGGGAGCATTGAGCTCTTTAAAAGAGAACCTATCTTTAGAATGGAAGAAAAGACAATGTGGGGAACTATCGACCTGTCAGCCTCTTCTCTGTGCCTGGGAAGATCATGGAACAGATCCCAGGGAAGATGTTAGGATGCCCAAGTCCTGGGAATGTTAGGGTGCCCCATTCCTGGGAGTGTTCAAGGCCAGGTTGGATGGGGTTTCTAAGCAACCTGGTCTAATTGAAGGTGTCCCTCCCCCGAGCAGAGCAAGAATTACCTTGAGGTAATTCTCAAGGTCCCCTTCCATCAAAACCATTCTGATTCTCTTCTCCCAGGTATCACTGGACTACTTATCCAGTGATAAGTATTGGTAATAAGTATATGGTGATATGATACCATATTACTTATGATATAAAGTATCATAGGAATACTTCAAAACTGTGCTGGGGTGGTATAGATTTGACATCAGGAAGCATTTATCTTTCTTGAGGGTGGTCAGACATTGTAACAGGCTTCCTATACAGGTGGTCAATGCCCCAAGCCTGTCAGTGTTTGACACTGATGTGTTTGGAGAATGCCTTAAGGAACATGCTTGAACTTTCAGTCAGCCCTGAATTGGTCAGGTAGTCCCACTAGATGAGTGTTGTACATCCCTTCCAACTGAAATATTCTACCCTGACAGATCTACAAGATCTGAATTGTGCTTGCAGACATTTGGTTGGTAGTTACTTGGGTTAGGACACAGTGAAGTGTGTTTTGGATACAATTTAAATGCTTCAACATTTTTCATATGGAGCTGACTACCCTACAGGGGAAAATCCTTGCCAACACCAGTATAAATTGGTTTTCCTTTCCATTCCTTACAACTGGTAGCACTAACATTCATCACATTTTACAAGCACATAAAATTGTGCCAGATATCCTGTGCTTCATCTAATGAGAAAAACTAACAATTTCATTCTGCAAAATCCTAATAATCAGGTTCAGAAACAAGTACACATCAAGTAAAGGTTTAACTTCCACTAACAGCTTGCATCGTTCCAGTCGTTAATAATCTTTATTTCTTAAAATAGAGTAATTTTCAATCACAGCCTAATTCTGTAGGTCATGCTTAAATATACTTAAACCTAGATATTTTTTCTCAATATAACCATGTGGGAGCAAAGACTGATGTGACAAGGGGAGCTGAGGGAACTCCAGGTCCTTGCCAGTGGTTTGTCCTTTATTCTGTGTGCTGGTCTGGGCTAAGATGTGCACCCTTTTTTATGCAGGTACCACTGGCCCTATTCATGTCTTTGCTTCTCATTAGGATTTCCAGAAGGGCACAATAGGTCCTAGAAGCCTTTCTGGGGTTTTTTTAAGAATTTTTTTTCAGTCATAAATCCAGTGTGGAAGACTCATAAGTGAACCATGTTTCTTCTGTGTGATCTTGCAAATTTCTGATCATTTAAAATGTCTGCACAGCAGGGAGTTCATCACTAACAATGCTGCAGTCACTAAATGGGAATTATCTGTCATCTGAATTACATCATCTGCAGCCAGGGCCATTATGCAAGCCTCCTTTTGAGGAGCAATTTAACACCACGCACTGTAAGGCTGCATTATACTGTACACAATCCCTCCAGTGTACAACAACCAGAGTGCCACCTAGTGTGACCTATGCCACCATCGCTGGGGCTGGAAACAAATGCTGACATGGGAGGAACTACTGAAGAGGCTGAGAGTACAGCTTGCTAAAATACTCATAGCAGCAGATCCTGAATGAAAAAAAATATTCAAAACTTTTCAATATATTTCAATACTCATCAGAAGAAGTCTGTAGAATAAAACAGGAATGATATGTCCAAATGCTGGCAGGAATACATCAGTTACTGTCTTCAATGATGTTCAAAACTGAATATATTTTGCTTTGACTCCACAGACAGGAAATTAGCAAATAAAATCTTGAGATTCAGTTTACATCACGAAATACGATACATCAGCAAAACCTTCAGAAACACATTAAAGAAGAGATAAAATCTATGGAATCCCATCTAAGTAGACATTCCTCACAACTATGCAAGAGTCATACCAAAAAAATACAGTCAAGCAAAACTAGGCTTACCTGAAAGTGCAAAATTATGGTCCATATCAACCCCAAAGTCAATTTGGGATTCCCATCTGTGATATCATCATTTCTGATGTTAACCAGTTTCACCTGCCATCACAGAAAGAAAATAGAGGCAAAATTGAAATAAATGTGCCACAAATACATATTGCATTACACAGGCATGACTGTAAAGAATGCACTACTCACTTCCTGAGCCTACTCTGCTGGGCTTTTTAATTCTCAAAAGCAGAAAGGAATTACATTCTGCCTGTAAGCAGCCTGCCAGGAATTGCCCTCTCCCACTCACACTGGGATGAGGAAATTCCTCAGCTGTCAGCAGGCTGGTAGATCTGCTCCCCATGCCAAATACACTTTGCCTCAGCTTTTGTCAAAAGGGGAAGGCACGACAGAGTAGGGCAGGATAACATGAAACAATGATCTGTAGCTGCTGTATCAGTCCCAGGGCAGTGCTGACACTGGGAAGTTATCACTGCTGTTCTTCCACCCCACGCTTTCCTGTGCTTAAACAAGGATTCAGCAGCAGGAGAACTGGCCTGCTGAAACACACGTCTGGCTTGATAAAACTAGGAATTTAGTACCACATTTAAGTAAACAATGGCTTAACAAGAGTTGCTGTTATTACACTCCCATAAACTAACACACAGTGAGTTTTGTAATTCCGCTACTTTAATTTTATTAATATATTTAATTTCTCTCTATGTATTATGCATCCATATAGGAGTTAAAGACAACTCAGCTAAAAGACATTTTATGCTTATATCAGTAAAGTTTCATGCACATGCTTTTCAGCAATGTTATCAAATGGACAAGCAAAGGCACGTCCTTCTTTTGATCTGCAGATGTAACTATTTGGAGGGAAAAAAAGCACCAACCTATACTCTGCAAGAAAGACAGTGTATTCCACAGTTTGTTGTTTGTTTATTTCTCAAGTCAGGCTTCAAAATTATCAATACATAGGCTCTCTCTGCCCTACAATCACAATAAAGCATTGTACTTGGAGGTTACACAGCCAACCTGAGACAGTAAACTCCTAAATACAATTCAGAAACACCTCTTAGAGGGCTGAAACTTGAATCAGCTGCAAGCCCCACTGACAATTTGCCAAGACCAAAGCCCTACAAACATTTTGTATACTAGAATACAGCCATCTTCACAAAGCTGTGAGGCTAAAGAGAGCACAAAAATCCTCAGATCGCTATCAACAGCAGCACATGCACGTTCATAAACGTGAGGATGACACAGCTCTACACCTCCTGCATTTCAATACACTCACTCTGCCATGCATAAATAAGGCACAATGCAGCACAAGTCCTGAGGTCCTGCTGCATAAAAATGCCAGTGTGACTGTCAAGTAGCCATTCATTTACTTTGCAGTGTACTGGTTCACTGGCTCACTTAGGTTAACAGGAAAAGTTTGCTTTGAACTCGGCAAAGGAGGATTTCGTTCTCAGTGCACACACACCATTCAGTGACCTGAAAGTAAGTTTGAAATTTCAAAATGCAAAACAACATCTGGTTTCATAACAAACCTAAGTCTCTGTTTATGGTTTGCCACCTCATATTCTCTCAAACCTTTGAAGTAGCAAAAACAATTTTTATTTTTTAATCAACCAATCAGAAAGCTGATTTTCAGTGTCAATTCATTGGGATGTGATGGATAGGGAGGAACAGTTTTTCCTCCCATGTTTTGTAATTTTTTTTTAATTGACATTTTGTAAAGGGAGAAATCAAGACTTCTGTAAGAATTAGAATTAGAAATAGAATTATGGTATTTAAAAGATATTGATATAAAGATATTGAAAAGTGGAAAGAAATTCACAGTAGCTGAAATGCAACGGTGGGGATTTCAAATGTCTGGCTAAAAGGAGATACATGTGAAATCAAGCCTGAATCTTCCACAGTGCCCAGGTGGCTCTGACACCTCTCTAATTGGTCTAAGAAGACCAGTTTTGTTTTAATCAGGATCAAAGTTTGAGAAAGTTTTCCTAAAACAAACACAATCAAAATAAGGAATTCCTATACACCATTCTAATATATTTGAATTGGCATTTTGCACTAAAAATTAGATTGTGAACAAAACTGCATACCAGCTAGTGTCTGGGCAGCATGAAAGAGTTAAATTTACTATAAGCAGCTCCTAAGGATGTCACTCATAATTTTTTCCTCTTTAATAACATATAGCACATGAAATGTGTTGTTATACCTTTCCCACATCTCTCTTAACCATCTCAAGCATGACATAAAGCTGAGCATACATGATCATGCACAACAGACAAAGCAGGAGAAATTTTTTATTTATTAGCTATAGGTGACAAAATTTTCATTAGTCCTTTTTTTTTAAATTATTTTCATCATACCTGGCGCTTTTTCAAATAGTCAAGTGCAATTTGGACGTTCTGCAGTCTGTGAAAACGCATCCGACCTTTTTCTCGGGGCTACAAGTGGAAAACAGTAGTTGTGAGATCTTCTCATCAGAAAAAAAAACAAACAGCCTGATTTAAATATACCATGTACAACAATTGAAGCACTACAGCTTTAATGAAGTCAGTATCTTTGGTGGAAAAGTGTGCTTTAACTACTTATTTTAACTGTAGTTACGTTTTAGTACAGTGGATGGCAAGAGAGATCAATGGTCCCCAACTGCAACTTTGATCCATGCAAGTTGATACCTGTTCCCTGTAAAATACTGTTAAGGCCAAGAGGGCTACTACCTACTTAAACTAAACTGAAATACATTATTATAAAATATTGACAGCATATTAAGCAAAACAAAAGTAATGTCATGGACCTTTACATTGTTCTAGTAAAATGTAATGGAAAAGCTTACCAGCTTACCTCTGTATGGAACTTCATGGCTTAATGGCATGACTGCATAATCATTATGATAGCTATACATATTTATTTAAAGCATCTAATAAAGACAGTACCTTCATCCAAACATAATAATATAACATAAACAGTCCTCATGTGTAAGCTTAAACTCTTGACTTGGGTAGAAAACTTTAAAGCATTAAAAAACCTAACAAGTCACTCCCCTCAAAGCAAAGTCAGAACTATCAAAAAGAAACTGTAAAATAAAAATGAGCAGTGTGTTAATGGAAACATGGCAAAACTGCATGCAGTTAGTGTAAAATCACCAAGAAGAATCACACAGAAAACGCATACTTAGCTGTCACAGATCAGCATGGGAAAGCAGTTAAATTTCTACCATCAACATCATATCCAAGTCCTTCTATTCTTCCTTATTTCAGATTTTTCACAAACTTTCACAGCAATAAACTGAAGCGGACTATAATTGCTAGGGATCAGCCATGAATATGAGCATTTCCTCAGACAATCACTGTGAAACACACAGATAAACTCAAGCCTTCCTCAACTGCCTTTCTTTTCCCCCTACGGAGTATCAGATGCTTGCCAAAAAGAAACATAGGAAAATGAAGTTGAATAAGAAGCATAAACTGAAACAAAAAAAAACTTTAATTTCCATTACAGAATCTTCTGTTTAGCCCCCTGTTTCTCACACCAATAACTCAGGGTCAAGCATTACAGCCCTTGCTGTCAAGTAGCTTCCTTGGATGGAATGAAGGATTGCAGACCTGGAACTTGGTTTTCCACAATAAAGAAGGCATAGTAAATCCCAAAATACACAGTTAGCATCTCAGAGGGGAAATATTTTTTTATAAAACAATGCAGCATTTTCATTTATGCTGCACTCCAGAAAAAAAAAACCACACAAATTCCACTGAAATCACAACTGCAGCACACCACACAGGGGCCAGGGAGGCACTCGGGCCCTATGACAGAAAGTTGCTTTAGCAAATGCCAAAGTGCAAGATCTAAAAAGGCATGAAACAGCTCACTTGGACTAACAAGCACCCAACATTTTACACTTCATGAGTAGATATTTCCCTTCTGGATGGGCAAAATATAGAGAATAGATAATTCAGCATTTGATGCAAAAAAGATAAACCCTGCAAACTATCTGTAGTTTTAGTAGCCACAACGCAAATCTGTTGCTTAACTTCTAATCTACCTGCTTTGATAAAAATCACTACTATATATGGTAAATTCTAACAAACAGGTCTACACACTGAATTACCTTAATTCAAGATATTATCCAATATTATGGCACACACACCATGCACATAGTAAACTGCTGTTTCTAATTATGACAAATCAATTTTGTACCATTGATTTCACGAAGATGAAATCTTTGTCTAAATTATTTGTATATGGACAATACTGTTTGCAAGTTTTAAAAAAAAAGTCAGTTTAATAGAATTACGGTATTTCCCTATAATTTAAAAAATTTTATACCTTCTTGATAGTGTTGTCCAGGATACATTTGTGCCATGGTTTTGTACAGTTTAATCAAAGAAAACAAATAGAAATCTTGAACATTTGCATTTTAGCTGTTCTGAATAAAAATTTGTCTTTACCATACCTCCAACCATAAACACACGTATCCTGGTTTATCAACAGAAGTTCTTTTGTCCTTTCTACAGCCCACTACTGCAGCACACCAAGCTAAGAATTTACATTAGCAGACACCACACTTCAAACACTACATTAGTACAGTTACGGGGGTCGGCACCTACCCCCTTATCCTCATCCTCCACATCCTCATGCTGTTCATTTGCGCATGCTTCTGTTGAACTCACCAACCGTAAGGTCTTCAAAAAATCTCGCTCTCTTGGCTAATGAATACAACAGACAGGAGACAGGACAGCAAAAACACAAGACAGACCACAAATGAAAAGAAGAGCATGAAAAGAAGAACATAATGAAGAGAACAAATACCAAGCAAGGGAAGTAATGCTCACAAAGAAAGGAAATGGCACCTGAGGAGTGTGTTAGACAATTTCAGGGACATTTGATCCTTGTTATTTGTAAGTTACTCCCTTAAATGCAAAAAGATATTAAGCATACAATACTTGTTAAAACAAAAATCAGAAAGAAAAGGAAAGAACAGAAGAAATAGTGCATTACCCTATTAAGAAAGAAGTCTCACTAACCACAAGAAATGAAGAGAACAGATTGCACTCCCCCACAGAATTCACACCAGCATATTTACCAACTGAAATATTGTGTCTTGGTATCAGGTCACAGATTACAGAAAATATCAAAGAAATCTACAGCACTCAATACACAATACAGAGAAAATGCATAATTAACAATCTGAAACCATTGTATTATGATCTAAAAGCTTACCAAGGTGTCTCCAGAGAGGACTTCTAGAAGTGAGATTAAGTTATGTCCATCTCTTAGGTCTTCATATAGGTCATTCACATGCTTTCGAACCTGCACAGATAAATGTAAAAAATAAGTACATGATCCCTGTTTATACCTGAGAATTCATATTCATATTAATACATATCTTTTAAAATACAGATAAGCCTCAGCTACACCTCAGCATTGTTGTTTTTTTTTTAAATTTCTTCACTTTCACAACAAATTTACAAATGAAAATTAATTGTAATAGACAAAATTCACATCTGAGCCTGCACTTGCAGAGTTTCATCACACTTTATATCACTTTTATTGAAAGAAGAACAGTACTAAGTTGCAGGTAATGAATGCATGTAGCAATGAAAAAAAATCAGTACCTGACAACTTAAACAATATCAGATACTCTCCTACTTGGACCTAAATAAGGACCACTAGACAACAGTAGCTAGAGTCAATGAATTGTAAAAAAATACATAACAGGTATCAGCAGCAAGCACGTTCACTGCAGTCACACGGAAAGTAATACACTTGCTAATCAAAGCATACCATCTACCAATTAACACCATATATTGTCACCTCAGGTTTCTTACTGAGCTTTCCCAATGACTCACATGTCCACCTTACACACCATACCAAAGAACTATGGCATTGGGTTGATCTAGTGTGAGGCTGCAATGACAAGACAGACAGCTGGAAGATCCACCTTTACTGACAGGCACAACAAACCTGGAGATATCTGTCCACAGGCCAGCTTCTTGATTCTTACCATTAGCTAAAATATAACTTTATCTGAAATGTCTTAAGCAATTTCAACCAGCTGCTCTTTGAATGTGACACAAAGGACCCTATTTTTCAGAATTTGAGATTTTTAACTTGCAAGGGCAGAGGTTGAAGGCTTTCCAGCTACAGTTTAATGTCAGCTCCCTAGTGTTCCTGTTGAACCACTAGATCAGAAAATTCCTAAGCTTAGGATAAAATACATCAGAAATTTTCTTCTTCTTCATCTCTGCCAGAGACGAGTTGTACTTCCAATATGAGATCTATGAGACACACTCTGCCAACAAATGTGTGCGATGAGGGCAGAAAGAATCTGCCCAGATCTTCTACTTAATACAACAACTCAGTTCGCCACACTTTTGGGGGAATTTTGAGATTCATCCTGTTGCATAAATAACAGTCTCCATACCTAAGATTAGCTTCATAAATGCTTTTTAGTTCAAGTTTTCTTACTCCAATTTTTAAACATGAAACTACCCTGCAATCTGTTTTCACAAACACCATCATTTTAATTGAGAGTAGCATCAGAACATATTTACACTTGTGCTGAAGACTAGCCAGAACAAGTCATCTAGAAGACTGTTCCATGAGGAATTACAACACATATTTTCCAAAACACTTACAGGGACTCTACATACACAGGTAAGTTATAATCCAATACCCTAATACATATACATAAGCTTGACACCCTCACACACATACACAAAATAGTGTATGTATCATTTTAATTTCAGTTACTTTTCTTTTTAATCCTGCAAGCAAATAATGAAAAAAAATAACTAAAAAATGTTTCTCTGATAATAATGAAGCTCTGCTAAGCTGAACAAAGAAAAAAGACCAGGTGTTCTCCTACCACATCTCTGCTGAAAAGAAAGAAAAGGGAAGCTGTAAAAATAATTGATATCTCTGATATCTCTTGATATCTTGATATCAAGATTTGATTATGATAAATGTTTAAAATATGAGAAACACAAGAATCTTTAATTTTTAATCCACTTGTTATTTGTTATTCAAAGAACTATATCAAACTGAGTGCTAAACTCTTTCTGTTTAAAGTAGGCAGGTTTTCTTTATGACAAGACCCTGTCAGAGGGCTGCCTGCCCCACCACCCAGGACATGTCACTTTCCACTTCTCTTCAGAGAGCAGAATCCCCAGCCAGAACTGATTCACAGCGCAGGCTGGTGGCCAGAGGCACAGGAAGACATAAGGTTAAGGACAGGGTAATGTGGTGTACATCTCAAAGACACTGCACCAGTATCTTTAAACCAGTTAAAAGACGGTTTGTGCAGCACCAAGTCAATGCCCACACTCTTTTCAACATAAAACTCAGGGGGTTTTCCCAATGTGCATGTATCTGAATTGTGGGGTGAGAAAAACCACTATTTCTGTTGTGTCTGCTTTTTTATCCATTAGATGCAAGATAATTTTGTTATCCTGCTACTCTGTCTCTCACAGCACACATTTGTTAACCTTCTGTTTATTTCTTATGCTCTAAGGTTCCCTAAGTATTACAAAGACAACCATCTTCCCCAGTTTATCTTTCTAGAAATCACAGACACTTCAGAGATGAACTCACACTGGATATGAAAAAACCAGCACAGAGCTGCCAAAACAGGAAAACCAGCAGTACACCTAATGCAACTTAGTTCTGCTGGCTGGCAATTACTGTGAGGATTAATTATTTAGTACATACTGTGCCAGTCATCCTGGTACAGGGCAACATAATAAGGAATTTCTTCCAATACTCTGAGCAGCAGATGTGCATCTAAAATGCTGTATTTGGGCAACTGATGTGAGCAAGTATGTTCACTCAAAGCATCAGATCACCTCTTTTGAAAGGGGCATCTTGTGCTCCTCAAGAGATCTTACACTGACTCTTCAGGAAAAGCTTGAAAAATCACCTCTATCACATGGGCAACTCTTATCTCTCAACATATATAAAATAATTTTAACTTACAGTAACTTCATTGCTCTTTACTGCCATATTCAGCCTCCTTCAAAACACATATTACCACAAGTACTGGATGCAGGTGGGGGTCCTGGAAAGATGTGTGGGATCTACTGAGCCCATATAATTTCACAACAGTTGTTGTGGCTTTTCAATAAAATCACAGAATTGTCAGTCCAACATTTTACAAAGTAGGTTACACGTTGCCTCAGGCAACTTCTTGCAATATTCTCATGTGAGTGTGACAGATTTGATAATTCGGGCATGAGAAGAGATTTTTTAAGGAAGAGTGGGAAGCACTGAGTGGCTGAGGTATATCTGACAAAACTTAAAACAAGAAAAGCAAAATGGCTTCACCAGTGAAAAGGAGACAGAGTGAATGTAAGGTGCTGTTTCACAAGTGATTCATCTTCTGATCTTCATCTTCTGATATGTATACTGTGATGTTTGTGGTAAGGAAAACTCCATTCTCCTCGACATAAGCATCAGATATTTTTGTATCATCCCTTTCCAGCAAGCTTATGCTTTGCAGTCTAGTGCCGTGGGGAATCTCTGCACCACCATCAGCAAACACCCAGCACACACATAGATCCCTCAGACTTTCATGTTAGGATGTAGTGTACTCCAGACCAGTGCCTAAAACGTATGGAGCACATTCTCAACTGAAATAGCATGTGAAGAAGCAGAAACAAACATTAATGTGCTGCAGAATCTAGAGTGGATGCAAAAGAAACTTGAGAGAGAACATAATTGGATCAAGCAGGAACAACTCAAAGTAACGCCCATGTACTGGAGGCCACCAGGAAATCCCTGAGGCAGGTGAGGTAATCACTGTGGCCCTGGCAAGCTGCATGACTTGGAAACAAAGCAGAGTTTTGTGCTCACTTACTTGTAAAATCACCCATTCTTTTACAGGGTCAGGAAAGCAGACTACTATAACCAAATATCTGCCTTAAAAACATCAGAAGTCTCCCTTTCTATATTATAGCTAAGCTGAACTGATGATTGTGAGAACATGCCAAATTAGACCTTTTCTTATGGTTTTTGGAAAAGGCAAAATTAGAATAAAATCTGAAACATACTTATTTTGAACAACTGAAGTTCAGTTGTCAAGTCATCAAATAATCAGTGTCAGTAGCCAGGAGTTATCAAGAACTGTAATATTACAGATCCAGCTGTGGCTGTTCAGACCACATGCCTGGGAAAGTCTTTTTCAAGTACTGCTCTCCTTGCTTCTGGAAGCAAAGTTAATTAAATGCCCAGCCCAGACATAAAGCACTACTGATTTTTCAAAGAAAAATGGGAAAAGGCTCAAACCTTAGAACTGTAAGGGGAGTGTTTAGGGAAAAAAAAGTGCCAGGCCTTAATTACCACTGAGGTCACAGATAAGTCCAAATGACAGCTGGCACAAGGCCACTGTGAGTTTCACAATAAACTTCAAATTCATTCCTTAGGAATCTGAGTCAATGCCTGTGGAAGAAAGATCTCTTAGAACTCTGACTCACTTCATTAACAATAAAACAATTTTCACCAAGATAATAGATAGATAGTTAAGAGCTCCTATGACTACAGTGTTCCACAGCAAATGCCATAAGCATTTAAAAGCTGAAAACCTTATGCATCCATTGTTGAGATCCTGACACCCTGATGAGTTTCCCTAATGTTTCAGCTTCCTAAAAACGTACTTAAGCTTATTTTTAAAGGAAAACTTGTATTAAAACATTATACTTAAGGGGGAAACAGTTTTATGTAACTTTAGAGAATATGCATGTTTTAGTCCTTTCAATTTTAAAAATTAAGAAATCGCAGTGGCAATTCTAGCTGCATGATAATAAATCAACCTATGCCATAAGTAAAGAATAAAAAAACCTCTAATGCAAAAAGTTGTATTTCTGTACAAAAATAAATATGTACTAGCCTGACACATGCAGCATAATCTATGAGAAACACCCTAAAACTCTGAACAGGCTGTAGCAACATCCATGAAGCATGTAATTGTCAAAATATGAGATTTGTCAAAACATTCCCCCGTGACTGATCAGCCAAGGGAGTTGCCTCTTCAAACATCTCGAAGAGCACTTATTTTACATGAGAGACTTCTCACATTCCCCCATGTAAAGGATGAGTATGGCTCAACATGTCTCAGGTAATCTCTCCCCACCATGCAGTGTGGGGCAGCAAGACACTGAGCTGTGCTCTGTGGCCAGCTCGGTGCCATGCCAAGAGATCAGGGAGCCAAAGCTCCGTGCAGACTGACACGCACACTGACAGCCTCCCCTGCTCTTTAATCTCCTTCTCTAAACCCAAAACTTACTGCTGGGAAAAAATCCAAACTCCAAACACCC